ATTTTACATTTTACTTTAAAAAAAGATTTGTATTGAATCACGTTCTCTCACGAACTGTCTGCTACACACAGCGTCTGAAGTTTACCATTAGAACAAAAAAAAAAAACAAAAAAAAAACCAACATTGTTTCACTCCTGTCCACTTCATGCTTGCCTGTCAGGCAACCTGTGAAAAGAAGGCACTAACCCGACCGATCGTTTCACTAGTCCTGGGCTATTGGACAGCCTTTTTGTCATGCCCTGCTACATCAACAGCTTGTGCTAGTTCTGTGTTTTTATTGAGTTATGGAAACACGATTTTTTACCAATCACTGTGTGTATTTTCTTAGGACTGTTTTCTAATTTCCATTAAAGTTTGGCAAGAATATCTTCGAATGACGACTTACCAGACGAGTGCTTTTTTACCTTTATTTATCTTTGGAAATGCCCAAATAATTTGCCAATAATATGCAACATAGTGTTTCAAAAATAGACAAAGTGAAATATGCTTTCCTCTAGTGATACTTCATATAACGGTTACACGTGTATGAAGTGATACACAATATGAATCTCACAAAGATTCATCTTGAAATGGAAACTGGTTTGAAAATTAAAGTGCCTCCATTGTAGTCATCTCTGGGTTTAAGGTCTTTTTAGTATAATTTTTCATTGAAGGAAGAAACGTTAGTCTTCCACGTACCAACAAGTTGTTTACTCCAATGTCTCGATTCTAGGGATATGTGGGAATTTGGGAGTGCCAGCTGTTTTTCAGTTTAAACTATGGAAATGTGTCAAAAGTTGATGATAAAAACAAGGATAAAAATAATGGTAAAATCGGTCCGTGATCCTGTGTAAGCTATCTTTAATGGACCAGATTAAGAAAGCTCAACACGAAATGGCAACCTGGGCCCACATAATTATGAGATAGCGAAAAAACGTATGGTTTGTGAATCACTGTGGGGAGGCATCTATTTGGAAGAGTGAAAATTATACCGGGCGAGTGCATTTTGAAAGTGACTCACCCGAATGACGAGTGGTGTCAAAATTTAGTTTCCAACGCTGTTAATGACCCCTCAAGAGAAGCAGCCTTCCAAAAATAGTTAAAATTCATGGTATTTAGCCAAGTTTTGGAGGTAGCACCCAGTTGGAAGTACATGTGATGATACCCCAAAAGATTTAGTGACCTGGGCCCATTTGTTCAAAGCTCGATTAAGCTAACCCGGGATTAACAAGAATTTTGATTTCAGTTTTGTAACTTTTCGGTGAGGTTTTCTGTTTTCAATGTTTGTCCTTCAGTTTTGAGCTTGACTAAGATCAAACTACACAAAATGTGAACAGTAAAAAACATTTTTATACAAGAAAAATTGATACTTCGGTTTACTTTTTAATCTTGGGTTAGTGTTAACCGGCTTTCGAACAACCCGGCCCTGGAGTATAACTAGTTATTAAATGAAACCTAGGAAACAGTGTAGCCTACAGGTACAACAAGCTTTTGCAATGTAAACTGATCTTATGTTTATCATAATTGCCTTCATTCCAAAGGCATTGTATTAATAATTAAACAACACTTTGCTGATTAGATCAGATAATTGTTTTGACATCTCAAATGAACTTTACGAGTTCCAGTTACAGAATAAAGTCTACCAACCACAAATGTTTAATCACCAGTAAAATCCTTTACATGATTCAAATGTTGTTTGCAGAGGGCCAATGACAAGATTGACAAGAACAATATAAATTCAATCACATCATGTCAAGCAACTGTTCCTAAGGATGCTGAAGTTTACAATGAAGATGAAAGCTTTTATCAAGCTTTGCTAGATTGTTGTTTGTCTTCTTCAAATCTTTTAGAACTGAAAAATAACAGGATGGAACAATTACATTACTTTTACCAAGGTAGGTCACATGTATGTTATGGTTGAGCTAGCATGATGACCCAGTAGGTTGGGATCATAAATCTGCCTGACTGCATCTTGCCTTAGTTAGCCTAACTACCAAAAAAAAAAAGAAAGAAAAACGGTTTGAAGAGGAGGACATAAAATTAAACACAATTTGGCTTCTCCACGTCAGTTTTGACACAGGCACGGTGCTGAATTTGTAAAGCAGGGTAGTGTATATTTTTTCATTTGGGCGAATAAAAATAGTTTCAGTGGAGTGAAAACATCTTTGTTTGAATGAAAAACTATTTTCAGTCAACGTCCAGTAACACTGAAGGTTTTTTGATGACTTACTAATCAATTTCTTTTTTTAATAACATTAATAATTCTTTTCATTTCGGCAGCTCCCAAGTATATTTCTACCAGAAAACGTGTATGCTCTGTGGAAGGGATTTGACTTATAAGCATTATATTGAGTTGGATTTGTTTATTTATTTAAAAATGCTGGCGAGGGCTTCGTTTTTACTCTTGACTAGAAATATATGACTTCTTTTTGTCTACAGTTTTTACAGCTTTGATACATTGATGTGGAGATTGGTTTCATACTTTGAAACTGGAAAATTCTTGCACAAAATGTTGAAATTTTCATTTTCATGCCAAACATGGCTATTTATAGTCGTGGAAAGAAATTTTGACCAGGGCAGATTTTGATCATGTGCTAGGTAACCACTTCTGAACTGTAAACACACATCACGCAATGAGCAAGACAATGTTATAATTAATTTTTGTAATTTTTGTCAAGCTTCATCTGAACACTTGATTATACCCATGTGACTAATACTTGCTCTTTAATGTTTCAAAATCTTTATCAAAAATTTAGTCAGTGGATGGCTTGCCTGTGTTCTTGCCCGTGTGGCAAGTGAGCAGAGAAAGTTACTTGAGAGGAAAATGTACTTGTTCCGCACGAGCAGACAGGGTTTTGTTTTCAAGTCCTACATATCCACTTGGATACACTCATGATAGACATGCACTATGTATGTGCCAACCTAAGAAAAAATTGCCAATTTTACCTTCTTGACCCTAAAAATGTTGTTGAAAATAGAGTTCCACTGGATCAACCACAAAAATGCATCAAATATAACCTGGGACCAAGCCCTCTTGCACTTCAGCATGAGCAGCGAGGCTTTGAGAGACAAGCCTGTTAGCAAAGTGAGCTGGCATGAAATGAGAGCCTTCCCAGATCTGCCATTGTTTCCCAAATCTGAACTCTTCAGAGTTACTCACTAGCTCAATGTGTCAAATTGTTAGCCAACAGAAATTGAGCAAAAGTCAACAAAATGACCGCAAATTGCATTAGGCTTTTAGCCAGATGGGGATGCAGGCATCCTGTGGACACCCACTTTTTGAAAGAGGATGGGCATGCAAGGCGGGCAGTCATTTTTTTGTGAATTGAAAGCCTATTGAAGTAGGAATATTTCACTAAACTCTGAACAGTAATGGTTAGGTCAATCCAACAAGTGTTTTCAGTTTTGATGCAGAGTTTTAAACAAATTTAGAATTTAAGACTTACCTACATGGTAAAATAAACAGGCAGTCTACTCTCATCAATCTGGTGGTCATGCAAGAGTGACCTGATCAACACCATCACGACACTACAGTTTTTAATCACTGGCTAGTATATGCATGTATGTCTTGAAAGGTTCAAAAAGCTTCTGTCATAATGCACTGTTTTAAATGTTTTGACCATCAGTTTTTTTATGATTGACATTGATTGAGACTGCCCCTAGTCTCTCTGCTTGTCATTCTATAATGTGACTGTAATTGGGAATGGCAGAATGACCATGGCTGGCTCACACATACTTGTAGCAAGAGGTGTGCTAAAAATACAAGAGCTGTTGATTTGCTAGCAACCTCCCAGGAGAGATTTACAATCCAAACCACCACTTGCATTGTTTACTTTGAAATATAGATCAGGTAATTAAGAATATTACAGATTGCTACCTTTAGTTATACTGAATTTCCCTATGTTATAGCTTTATCACAAAATGTCTCAACACCATAACTTGTTTGCATGAAGTGCATGACTGTACAGAAATCTACAGTGCATATGTGCATGACTAAATAATTATGTAGTGTAAACATTACTCTTTTTGAACATTTTTAAACTTTTAGAATTTGCATTTTTGAGAAGTGCTCCTCATGTTGAAGCAATGTACACTTGTATGCGAGCTTTTGAGGAAGGTGACTGTCAACTGCTTGGCAAAATTGATCATGTGCTGGTGAGTATACTGTGTATGTTGTGACTGAAAAATATACTACTTCCAGTGAACACTGCGATTGGTGATTTTTTTGTAATCTGGTCTGTTTTTTTCTTCTCTGAATTTTCGGTGGCTTCTGTCCAACTTCATCAGAGTTGTAATGATTATCTTAATCCTGACACAATACCTTGAAAGGAAATCATAGCATCAGTTGAGCAAAGCGTTACCTGACTACTAGCCGCAGCTACATGTATGGAGGAAATCAAAGTTGAAGTGAGCTATATCCTTAAAAGTACTCAGCCTCCCAGAATGAGTAACATAGCCAAAGAAAGAGCTTTTAGCTCTGAAAAATGAGAACATACTCATTCTTCCCATGGACAAGTTTAATTCTGATGTGATAATGAACAAGTCCAATTACTAGGAGAAAATCAAGACAATGCTCCAAGACTGGAAGACTTGCCAGCCAATTACGGACAAGCAATAGAACCACACTACAAAATCTGCATTGGATCTACAGAGGGAGCTGCAAAACCTTATGGAGTTTGGCAACCTCTCCGTGGAGGAGTATAACCCTTCAACTTTTTAGTGCAGAGTGCACTATTGGGATAGTTTGGGGGTTGATGTCGCTAAAGCACTATCATGGCAATAAGGCACTATGGCACTATGGCACTATGGTACTATGGCACTAAGGTGCAAACTTTAATGTTTGTATAATTAATTAATTTCAATTAATTAATTAGGCTTGCAGTAAGGGGGTAGGATGGGGTAAGTACTTGTGAGCACTACGTAAAATGGGTGGTGCATGTACCTACGTTACTTCTTTGATCACTTCAAAAAGCTATATATTTGTTTCAGCAAGCCCCTTGCTCTCCTTGTGGTACTTTTCTCTTTAGAACAAAACCAATATTTGCTGTAAACACATGCACAGATTAATAGGCGTTAGAGTCAACTACATATTAGGTGGAAGATACATTTCATACAAGATCACACAATAACATTGAGCACTTTTCTTTGTGATAGAACCCAAAGAAGTCATACGCATGCATTCTAAAAAAATTGCAAAATTCGAGAGGTGTCTTGACCAATGGTAATTAATTGTAAGTTAGTCTTGAACTGTGAATGAAAATACACACATCAAACATGCACACTGCTTAGATTATGTCTCATCAAAATCCCTAGGTAACTAACAAGGCCAATACAAACCAGGAGTGAATGGTAGGGGTTATACAGGAACTGTGTTATGAGTACTGCGTCAGAGCTATACATTACACTCTGCACTATCTGCAATTGTTTCACTAGTTATGAAGTTCATAAGGTGGAACCTAAACCAAATAATCACCATTTCATACTCCCAGTGGAAAAGTTGAATCGCATCCTCCTGAGACCAATAATCAGGTATTCAAGTGCTCAGTGAAGGTACTCAGAACCTTACAAATGGATAACCAATATACCATGCAGAATTCAACTGAGTTTGCAGACTTCGTGCTGAGCCAACGGGTCGCTGATGATGAGGAGCTTGCATTCTTTGATGTCATGTCACTTTCACTTCCATTCCTGGAAAGCTGGCAATTGACATTGTAAAAACGAAACTCTGACAGTCTGATTATGGAAAGATACAACTACCCTCACTGAGTCACAAGTTATAAACTGGGTTTTCGTCATTTGTGATGGAAATAATTATCTGGAATACCCAAATTGGTCAGAAACTCAGGGTACTAAATTTGGTCTTCCATCAGCAATAGCAATGGCCAGATCACAACATTGATGCTTGAACCATGAGGTTTGTTATTTGCAATGTCTGCAATGAAGACATCTGCAATGAAGACTTGAAGAATGATTGGGGAGAAGATCAGTCACTTCCAACTGAGGTTTCACTGCTTCGAAGGCAGCATTATACTGCTCCTCACTAGAACAAATACACTGCAGATAGCGGGAGATTCCTTTGCCAAATGAGAGCGATTTATTGCCAATTAAACAATTGCTTTGTGGGAGGCATGGTGGCCTCATGGTTAGTGCACTCGAATCTGGAGCGGACGGTCCGGGTTTGAGCCCTGGCTGGGGACATTGTGTCGTGTTCTTGGGCAAGACTCGTAACTCTCCATCCAGGTGCGTAAATGGGTACCAGCGAATTTAATGTTGGGGGATAACCCTGCGGTGGACTAGCATCCCATCCAAGGGGGAGTAGAAATACTCTTGGTCACTTCATGCCACTGAAATTGCCTAATGAAGAGACCAATCACAAACAGCTACTCAGATCCTATTAGTTTGCTGGGGGTCTCAGACAAGGATTCATGCGCTAATTCGGAGATAGTTGTTTACGGTTAAATTTCCATCTGTGATGTAGGCTAATCTTGTCATGGCCAACATAGAGGAAGAAGCCTTGCTACCTCTCCAGTTGCTGCTCGCTGTTGGTCAATGTGTGTGGATGCCTCCTACATATGTTTGAAGAGAACAAATGCAGAACTTTTCCCCCCAGCACCTGAACTCTATTGATGGTAACATCC